CCAAGAAGACAGAAGCCATTTGCTCTTTTTTTAGCAAAAGTCAACTGAATTTCCGAAGAAAGCAACGCGAGACAGTCGTTCGTTCCCTTACCCCTACGGAAACCAAATTGAGTATCTGAGAGTAGGTGGTTCGTCTCAACCCATTTGTCGAGGCGAAAAAGGATCATTTTCTCCAACAATTTTCGAATGCACGATAACATCGCGATGGGACGATACGAGTTGTGATCTGACGTGGGTTTTCCGGGCTTTTTAATGGCTATAACTCTCACCCGCCTCCAATCATCCGAAACAATATTAAGCTCCAGGAACTGACCAAACAAGTTCAACATGCGCCTCTTAGCTACGTCTGGGAGGTTCTTCAACAAGTTGAACTTGATTCTATCAGCCCCCGGAGCCGAATCGAGACACGAAAGGAGCGCGAGTGAGAGCTCCAGCATTGAAAAAGGCTGGCTGATCTCGTCTACCGAATTCGTCGTTTCGCGAAGAATCATCTGTGCCGGCACAGAATTAGGACATAGTTTTCGCGCAAACTTGAAAATCCAACTATCCGAGTACTCCTCACTCTCGTTGTTTGAAGACTGGTTACGCATACTTCGCGCCGCATTCCAAAGCGTATTCATCGACGTTTCGCGCGATAATCCGTCCACGAATTGCCGCCAGTATCCGCGTTTCTTGGCTTTGATGAGGCTCTTGAGTTCGCGTTCAAGAGCCGAGCACGCTTCGAAATGTACGGGTGTTCCACGTTTCCGGAAAAGCTTAAACGCGTCGGACTTTTTACGATAAACCTCAGTGCATTGCTGGTCCCACCAAGGGGAAGGAGGTTTCCTACGGAAAGACGTTCCTGGAACCGGCCGAGTTTGAGCTTGAAGCGCGCTGTTCAAGATCAGATTGGAGAGGAAATTATATTCCTCCAACGGTGTAAGCCCTTCTACCGACGTTAGGGCATCTTCTATCACATTCTTGAACGTTGTCCAATCGATATTACGGGTAAGATCGTACGCGACGTTAACGGGTTTCGACGGATTGGATAAAATTGATAAATACCACATATCTAGCGATGAGCCCAATCTTAGATGCATAAGCCAACATTAGAGCCATTTCCCCTATATTCTGATTTTCATTGCAATTTAATCTCCACCTTAAAAATATTCATGGAAATCGTTTTTCAGATTACATTTGTTATGAATTGCTGGGATAATTTCCTTATCAATGATACGATTTTTATACGATTTTATCGCATTTTTTTTTATACGATTTTTTTAAATTATCATGTTTAGAAATTTCGCTCATTACTCCAATACGACTAGATTACCCTGCGTCTCCATTGATACATATCGAATGTAACATGGTTACATTACTTACTTATTTCAATTTCTGATCCTAGACTACCATGACATTCATAGAAAATTGAATCAAAATTATTTTTTTGCTGTGTAGGAATTCAAATAGAATATATTGATATTAAATTTGAGCAGTACATCTTTCACGGACTGTTTGGAACTCCATATCTAGTCCATATTTGGACTAGAATCAATGTTTTGATAAGACAATCTTATGGTTTCCAACTATGCACATTAGAGTGATGCAAAATTTGAAATTTTCGCTCCACAATACTTAAACGATTCCAAATCGGATCCTGACTAACCTCTCAAAATTTGAACCCATTTGGTGAGAAACTGAGATGTCACAAACCATTTCAAGTTTGTATGGGAATTACTATGGTAAAACCAAGATTTTTGTTCATGTCTATCTAATAATTCACCATATTGATCTGCTTCAAAAGCTTTCAACTGTACTTGTAGAAAATTTTCCCAGCTACAACTTTGCTCAAGACCACTTTTTGATTAAATGCAAGGATCGAAAGTTATCAATGGTTCAATGCGCTGATGTCTTATGATCATGCTCAATCAACTGCTCAGCAGGCAACATTGGTGTTTCTGGGGCATTGAATAGGACACAAAAACCATGATAGTAGCCACTGAAAAATACAGTGTTGCCTACAGAGCAGCTGCTTGATCTTGTCATAAGTTTACCAATCTCTTAAATAATTAATAACTTTTTCCTGTCTCATTTTACATAGAAACGATTTTAAGCAAAGTTGTAGCTGAATAAAATTTCTATAAGAATGGCTATCGAACTGTTTCGCAGCTCAATATGGAAAAAGACTAAAAGGCAATGAACAAAAAGTTGAGATTTCCCATAGTAATATACATGTAAACTTCAAATGGCTTGTGCGAAGTCTGCTTCTAACCAAATGAGTTGTAACTTTGGGAGGCTAATCAGGACCCGATTTGAAACCATTTAAGCACTGTGGAGCGAAAAAGTCAAATTTTGCATCAGTCTAATGCACATGGCTGGTTTGGAATAAAATTCATTATTTTTTTATTTATTTTTTTATTTGTAGACGAGAACGAGAATCGTTTCACAATAATATAATTTTCATTTTCTGGCCTAAAACTATGATACGACTGTGTTCCGGAAATTTGTTTGACACGATTATAACGAGTTTTAAGTTTTCTTTCCATCGCTTTATGATATGCGTCTGAAAAAAAGCCATAGTGCATTTTTGAATCGATTTTAGAAATTGCCCATGTATAAAGCTCTTTAGCTTCTTGCAAATTTCACAATACTAACCTTCGTTGTATATTAACCTTACCATCAACATTTTTTGTAATAACATAGTCGCGTTTTCCTAGACAGGCTCGGCTTATTTCGTCACTGGTATAGAAATCACACACGAGTGATAAAGTTTCTTCTGCTAAAGACGCCCTGTTCAGATTTCTTCCTGGTGTCGTCATTATCCCCTTGTCCTCCTTTAGTGTTTTTGTCCGATCCACCATTTATTTCGTTATTTTATATGCTGACCAGCTTCTAGGTAAAGTCGTGAGAATACGATACTTCTCATTATTAGCATGAGTTTCTAGAAACTTTTCCTTGAGTTGCTGAATGATTTCATCATCGTTTGTAGTAGGCACACTGTCAGTACTTCTGATCGATTGTAAACTGGGTGCTTCTAGTGACTCTGAAAATGAAGGGTAATACGCCAAGAAAAAAATGTTCTGCATAAAATTCTTCGACCAATTGACTTATCATAACATTTGCTGCATTCGTAGAATTCTGATATAATCTATTCAACATACGTAACATCCCTTCTAACAATGCATACCAGTTATGTTGCCGATGAATGGTTAAATTACGTTGAAAATTTGTGAACGTCTTGCCACGGTCAAATCCCCGTACTAAACAATACCGATACACTTTTTGTAGAATTTTTGTCCATTACATATTTTGAAAATAACGTTTCAAAAGATGTTAGTCATGCAAGTGCATTTAAGTGTTGAACCGGAAAAAATAAACAAAGAATATTCTAATTGACCGGCAAATCAATGGCTTTGGCTGTTAGAGGATTTCAAGAATTCAAGCACTGCAAATATATGCTACCTTTCCTCTAAAATAGGAATGGTTTGTGGTAACGCATATGAAATGTCGGTCAAAGCAACCAAGTTTCAACATCCTGTATTTCGTTTACCTACACCTTCCAGAACTTAGAGCTCTGATGTTCTAGCATTAATCGTAGCACATGAGATCAGCGCGAGCCTCGCGCACGCCAGGATTTTTGAGTGTCGCATTTGTTTCTCGCTCGTATCTTATTCTCGCGTGTCACTTTCTCTCTCGCCACATGTTGTTTTCGTTGCGACGGGAGACGGTTTGTTGAGAGTCTCGGCAGCACATTTTTGCACGCACGAGGAAAATGTAACTCTGCTTATCATCGTTCTTATTACGATGCTTGGTTCATGCATTATGCATTTTCAAAGTGCATGATGCCATGGAAAATTCTATGAACTAAAATTTTCCGGAAAATTAACCACTACACACTAAAAAAATTCTCAACAGTGCGGTAGAAATACGACCTTCATTCTAAAGCCGATTTTGCTCAAAAATAATTTCAAAATACGTTAAATCTCGTTAATTTTATCAAGTATTGTATTTAACGTGGAGATTTCATTTTAAAGTAACTTTAAAACAATTGAATTGAATTTCACAAATAACAGCTATTGAGATTTCGGTAAACATTATCGAAGTAGGCGATAATTTTTAAGTGTGTACCTGTAGGCAAATTTTCATTAAATTCTGAGTCCCTCGGCCCATTTTATCCGATAGTAAAAAAACCCACTCATCTCAAATGCACGCTCAAATGTTACTCGGAAAATCAGTTCCTTGCCGAGTACCAATAATAATTACAAACCACTCTATAACTCCAGCAAACACCACACATTTAATTACTAACTCCATCAAGTATTTAAATAGTAACCTTCTTCACCGTTCGGGTAGACGTATGTAGATTTTCAGGATGGCATCGATTTTCCTACGTAACGACATCTCTCATACTCCCACTCTGTGCCGTTCGTCGTGACACGCCTAATCCGGCAAACGTGCCAATGCCACACTGCAAACACCACTGACTGACGTGTTTGTGCTACCTATATCTACGGACGTGCTGTGTGTGAATACAATTTGAGAGAGGGTTTAAAGTTAACCTCACAACCGCAACACCTATTACGCTACAATATGTATGATTCTCTACTCCGGAGATTGTGACCCATGAGCTGTGTTGTCGCTAGTTATAGATATAGAAGCAAAGGAAAACGGGTTTAACCTTTGCCCTTTTCCTTCGGTTCTATGTTTGCGGCAATGTTTCCATACACTTATGATCTTGATTCCCCCTCTTCAACTATTTCTATCCAACTCCTTCACCAGTTTCTTCCCTCTTCTTCCTACCCCATGCCATGAATTCAGTTAAATACAATTTTAAAGATGTAATCCATTTTGCAATTTACCCAGGCCGCCCCATTTTCTGTCTTCATCCCCTAATGCTATGCACCAGCAGCACAGATCAGTCAATGTGTGAAGAAAATTCCTAACTTCTAGAACGGAACCGTCCCAGAATTTCAGCATTTTTCTCTCATTTTCTTCTCCATCCCCCGCTCCACGCACAACAGTTGACAGCCGGCATCTGAAGGAATCCATTGAACGGGCGGAATTTTCGCTCAATCTGGAGCTGTGGTTCGGCGAGCAGACGACCGGGAACGTGCTGAGCCTGGCTTCGACACGGACGCTGCAGCTCAACTTTCACCCGGGCCGGGGACTGCACTACCATCTGCCGGTGCTGTTCGACTACTTTCATCTGGCGGCGGTCAGCGTGGGGATCCATGCCAGCCTGGTGGCGCTGCATCAACCCTACATCAAGTAAGTGGAACGTGAACGCGAACCGAACGGAACGGAACAATGATGTTTTACAATCAGATTCTGTTTTCCAGTTTGTTGTAGTAGATTTTTTTGTTTATGGTTTTATTGAGTCCTAGAGGAAATGAGTTTTTTTTTCCCGTTTCTGTTCCATCATTTATTGTTCTGTTTGTTCCCGCAAACCGGTAGGAACTAACCTAAAACGCTGGAGTGCTTCGAAGTTATGAACATTGTTGGCAAACAGAGAAATAGATTGGAATTTATGGATTGTTTTGACCGAGGTCTGGGCGATTTGAGCTTTTCAGGTTTTCTAGTTTAACCGGTAGAGACCGATCTAGAAAGTAATAGTGCTACACATTATTACGTCGACCAAGATACCAGTCTAAGGATAAATGTTTCTTAACACTCCGAATACGGTGGGTAAAATACTTTACGCCGACTACGAAGCCTCCGAAAAACGTGTAACAGCAAGTTTGATGAATTTCAAAAATTGTGGTACCTCTAGAATTCTTAGGCTATGTAGATTATTTTAATTGCAGAGAGATTGAAAATAGGGAAAATAGGGACTTTTTTCAAAAGCGAAAAGATGTGTTACAAGTTTTTTTTAAGGTGTGTTTATGGGTTTTGCAAGCGGCCCAAGATCCAGAATTTAGATTAATGGGCACAAATGTTCATATCTAGTCAGAATACAGTCATGGTATACATGGAATCTGGAGATAACGGAACGGTCCTCGAAAGATTCGGAACATCCGTAAAAGTGGTATATCCATAAACCTGTTCCTAGAACTCCGCGGTTTTTTCGAAAACATTAGGCACCTCCGTTTACGAAGTCTTTTTTTACGCAGTATTTAATTTTACGTCCTTCTTTTTACGAAGTAAATCCCAAATAACGAGGCTTTTTTTTACGAAGTAAATCCCAAATAATGAGTTTTCTTTTAACGAAGTACATTCCAAATAACGAGTTTTTTTTTTGTGATTTTGGGAACTGGGATATACTGTGAAATACCCCACAATATGGGCCTTGTTGGAATCGGAGTGACGTGTAGGGACCGGAAAGCGATGTGTGACGCCATTTTGGAATCCAAGATGGCGGCTTCCGGTTACAGAAAAACTTGGAAATTCTGCCAAATACCCCACAATATGGGTATTTTTGGAATCGGAGTGATGTGCAGGGACCAGAAATCGATGTCTGACGCCATTTTGGAATTCATGATGGTGGCTTCCGGTAACATAAAAACTTGAAAATTCTGTCATATACCCCACAATATGGGTATTTTTGGAATCGGAGTGACGTGAAGGGACCGGAAATCAATGTCTGACGCCATTTTGAAATCCAAGATTCCTGTTTTCCATGTTTTCCTGTAACCGGAAGCCACCATCTTGGATTTCAAAATGGAGTCACACATCAATTTCCGGTCCCTACACGTCACTTCGATTCCAAAAATACCCATATTGTGGGGTATTTGAAAGAATTTCCAAGTTTTTCTCTAACCGGAAGCCGCCATCTTGGATTTCAAAATGGCATCAGACATCGATTTCCGGTCCCTGCACGTCACTCCGATTCCAAAAATACCCACATTGTGGGGTATTTGACAGAATTTCGTTACCGGAAGCCGCCATCTCGGATTTCAAAATGGTGTCACACATCGATTCCCAGTCCCTACATGTCACTCCGATTCTTTTTTTTTTTCCTTTGGTTTGTTTTTTCCGTCGATCTTGTTTTCCTTGCTGAGCACCAATGCTACCGACGTGCCAGGAAGACAGCTTCCACACCTGGACCCTACCTATCGACCCATCAACTCATGAACCGGGGACCAACGGCTTTACTTCCCATCCGAAGGAAGGCGTGATCAGAGATGTTATGCCTCAGAACATCCCGGTGTCGCCGACTGTCACTCCGATTCTAAAAATACCCATATTGTGGGGTATTTGGCAGAATTTCCAAGTTTTTCTGTAACCGGAGGCCGCCATATTGGATTTCAAAATGGCGTCAGACATCGATTTCCCTACACTTCACCCTGGTTCCAAAAATACCCAATATTTTCAAAAACCTCTTTTTACGAAGTAAATCCCAAATAACGAGGTTTTTTTTTACGCACTAATTCGATTTACGAACCCCCGTTTTGGTTCGTAAATGGAGGTTCCAGTGTATAAGAAAGAATTAGAGTTCATGACATAAACATGGACCCGGATGGGCATCAGACCGTTCTCCGGAAGATCCGGAACATCCGTAAAAGTGTTCAATCTATGAAAAACACTTAGAACTGTCATATATAAATTAATTAGGGGTCATGACATACACATGTACATAGAAGGCCATAGGACTGTCCTCCGGAAGATCTGGAACATCCTTAAATATGGTCAATCCTGATCCTAGAACTCCGTGGTTTTTTTCGAAAGCATTAGGAACTGTGATATAAGAAATAATCTGGGGTCATGACATAAACATGGACCTGTATGGCCATAAGACCTTCCTGCGGAAGATCCGAAACATCCGTAAAAGAGGTCCATTCATGAAACTGATCCTACAGCTCCGCAGTTTTAGAACACTAGGAGTTGTAATGATAGAATGAAAGATCCGGAACATCATTAAAAGTGGTCAATCCATGAAACTGATCCTAGGGTTCTATGGTTTTTTTCGAAAGCATTTGAAATTGTGATATAATAAATAATTTGGGATTATGACATAAATATGGACCCGGCTCATGGCATAAATATGGACCCCCTGGTAGGTCTAGAACATCCGTAAAGCGGTCAACCGATAACAACTGATCCTACAGCTCCGCAGTTATTTTCACAAACATTAGAAACTGTGATAAAAGAAAGAATTTGACGTCATGGCATTAACATGTACCTGCATGGCCATAGGATCGTCATCTGGAAGATCTGAAACATCCGTAAAATGGTCAGTCCATAAAACTGATCCATTAGTTCCAGGAATGCCATTCTCCCCAGTGTAAGCAGGGTGATAAGTTGAAACGACACCTCGCACTATGACAAAAGCAAACTCACCCGAGAGATTTTTATTTTGTTTTCAGTTTCTATCGCTTCTCCCACTTCTCAAACAAATACAGTTTCTGACCTCGCACCTCCACCAGTCCAACACACCGGAGCGTATGAGTGATCACTAGGGAGCACCGTAGAGAGTTCGTTTGCTTCACCGGGGAGAATCACCCCGGTGAAGACTTTGGTTGTTAGTTTGTTGCTAAGAGGAAGAGGAGACAACTGACTTCTTACTCTTTTATCTCTATCTCTATCTCTATCTTACGCATTCCCAATCGGCCAATCACGAGCTGGTTCGCGCTTAACAGAAAAGTGATTCGTTTTCGCCCCCCGTATTGTCTTCTCTTCCTCTTAGGTTTGTTGCATACAAAAATTTTTTAAAGGTTAATTTTTCTATTAACGTACGGTAGTCAATTATTTTAAAATTTGGTGTACACATTTTGGAAATGCGAATACGGGAAGTGCATCAGCGCACCATTATTGAAATTTGCTTCAGACATGGGACAGACAGACATGGGACAGAGATCGATTAGGATCACAGCGGGAGTTCCACAAGGCTCCATCCTTGGTCCAACGCTCTGGACCGGGATGTACAACGGCGTGCTAACGCTGAAGCTGCCCAAAGGAGTTGATATCTTTGGCTTTGCGGACGACATCGTCTTGACGGTAACAGGCGAGACGCTGGAAGAGGTGGAAGTGCTGGCGACCGAGGTGATCAACATGATTGGTAACTGGATGTAAGGAGCGCAGCTGCAGATGGTCCATCATAAAACGGAAGTTCTATTGGACAGTAACTGTAAAGCGGTACAGCGGGAATATATCACCGTCGGGGGCATGCCATAACCTCAAAGTGGAAGACAGCGAGTGCTACAGGCGGAGGGAAGCCGGAAGAGTACGGAAAGTTGTGAGAGCGGAGTCGTTGGCTAAGTGGCAACAGGAGTGGAACACGGCAGAGAACGGTAGATGGACACGTAGACTAATAAAGAGATGAAACAGCCTCTGGCTGAAAGTCTCACTATTAAAGATAACCTAACCTAACCACGTAGACTAATCCAGATTTTTTTCGACCTGGGTGAACAGAAATCACGGAGACTTCAAATTTCACCTAACGCAGTTCTTGTCTGGCCGCGGCTGCTTCAGGAAGTATCTGCATTGGTTCGGACACGCAGTGTCACCCCTCTGTTAAGAGTGTGGCAACGTGGATGAAACGCCGGAGCATGTGGTTTTCGACTGTCCAATGATCGAGGCAGTTTTGTGAAGGGAGATGCCCGTCCTTAACGTGGAGAATGTCGTCGTTGAAATGTGTCGAGAAGAAGGCACTTGGAATGCCGTCAGCAGCTGCAGCGAAAATGGAGAGAGGAGCAGCGATCTAGCCACACCAGAACACCCGATGAATATTGACGAGATGCTCTGCCGGAATCTTTGGAGAAACAATAACGCATTTGCGCTGCTATCTTTCTCACGGAAGTGAGTGTATAAACAGACAAAAAGTGAACTGTCAACATTCTCACTCTCTCGTGCTGTGTCTAAAAATCTATCCAGTGGTGCCAGGAGAAATCTCCGAGGGGACAAGCAGAGATTCACCCCAGAGAATGATATCTCTTGCACCCGGGTGATTCTCCCCAGATAATTTTCAACTCTGAAGTTCCACGGTTTTTTTTCGAAAACACGTGGAACTGAGATATAAGAAATAATCTGGGGTCGTTACATTAGCATGAACCCGAATGACCATGAAACCGTCTTCCTGAAGATCTATTAACGTGGTGCAACGATGATACTAATTCTAAAACTTCGCGGTTTTCTCAAAAACACTTCGAACTGTGAAGTTTTTGAAAAAATCACGTTTTTTTTTCATAGTTTCATGTATGAAACACTTTTACGGATGCTCCGGATTTTGAATGACGGTTCAATGGCCATCCAGGTTCATGTTTATGTCACGACCCCAAATTCATTCTTATAACACAGTTACTAATATTTTTTAAATAGACTGCGGAGCTCTA